CAACTACCACGAGTCAACCTTCATCCCAATGCATCGATGTAGGGAAGGCCTTGGCCTCGATAATATGGCAGCCACCTTTGGGATGCTCCATCTCTTCCTTTCCCCAACTTCACCTTGGCCTCCCACTCTCCCTACACAAACTTAAAGTTTCAGACTACCAACCACTGATCTCCTCCTTCAATAGCCACCTTTTAGGCTAGAAGTCCTACCTCCTTTCCTATGGGGGATGGATTTCCCTTGTCAAGGTTATGCTGGGAAAGCCTCATGATACACCATATGCTTGCCATGATGCTCCCCAAAATTGTTCAGGACATAATTAACACCAGGCGTCGCACTTTTCTCTTGATGGAGGGTGAAAAATATCATGGCTCCCAATGCCTCATAGCATGGGACAGGGCTTGTCTTTCAAAAGATGTCAGAGGGATGGGGATCTGCTCATTGGAGGATCAAAATCATTGTATTATATTTTGCTAAAATTCATACACAAGCTACTTGGACCTAACTCTTCCCATTTGGAAACTTGGCTCCTTTGTTAGGGCAACCTTGCTTTTGGGTCCAGGGACAACAATTCCCCTCTTGCTTGGATTATTACTGATGAGTGCCCTCGATACTAATAGCTCACAACAGTCCATGTTGAGTATGGATTGTCCACCTCTTTTTGGTTGGATAATTGGTTTGCGTGTGACCCCTTGACCACCAAATACCAACTCTATTTTCGCACTACATCAGACTGAATCTTTGCATTAATGAGATCATAGCCAAAGGGTTCCATATCTCCCTTAGGCTGTCATTATCTAACACTGCCGCCTATGAACTTTGCATTCTTAGGCGAGCTCTTAAGACGTCAGGGAGCTCCCTAATACTAGATTCTTGAACACCCATAATGACCCCTCCTTATCTAGCCGAGGTGCTTATGATCTTCTTCACGCTGAAGAGGTTTGCCATTCTAGAGATGAGGGATCTATGGAGCTGCAAGCTTTATAGTAAGCAAGTTTTTTGGCTGACTCCTCTACATCGATAGGCTCAACTCCAGGGCAAATATATCTACTATAAAAATATTCATCATCTGAAAGATTCCTACTGTCCAAACTATGCATGCATCCCAGACACCAGTGATCACATCTTTGTGTCCTGCCCTCTAGCCTCCCGGGTCTAGAGATACCTAGGCATCAGATTTGTTGAGGACGATCACTGACGCCCATGGTTGATTGGTTCTCGCCTACACCTTACATCATGTGTTTGCATGGATATGCTGATTGTGGTTCTCTAGAGGATCTAGATCGCTAGGAATGGGCAGGTCATCGACAACAAGTTATAATGCCTTTAGGGTATGATGCAGCCTATAATCAGGGACGTGGATTATTGGGCTTGTCAATATGAATAGTTGAGGCCCTTGGTCCAACAATGGAGGTGTTTCTTTCAAGAATGATGTAACATTCTATAATTTTATCTCACTACTATTTTATACTTACTATCAACCCCTTCCACTGCTATGCTAGTTGGGTATGCTGTAAAACTTGCACTTTGTGCTCCCTACCCCCCCAATTGATAAAAAAGAGTTCAAGAGCATCTAGTGATCAAGATGGAAGTTGATGAGGATATCACTCCTTTAGATGCACCCATGACTAGAGCTCGAATGCGGAAATTAAATATAGAGGTGAGCTCGTTCTTAAGCGATCCTTTTCAGATCTATGAGAATAGATTGTTGCCTAATGATGTTTTAATTCTTATGAACATTGGAGAGGGTCATGAAGTGCTTGGACAAAGGCATGGAGGTGAAGAAGACCAGCAAGGGCGTCCAAGCCAAGAGGGAGGCCCAACACAAGTCAAGTTCGAGTCCAGCTTGGCCTCTAGGAGCAGCCAGTACTAAAATAGACGCCTAGGATGCATACAGATTCCGGGTTGGATGTTCTACCCATACACCAAAATCTGAGAAGATAACCTAACCAATGACGCTGGTTTCATGTGAAAATTCCATAGAAATCAATAGGAATTGTCAAAACAAGTCTACATCCAGAATCTGCTATGGTGCTTTCGACACTGTCTTTTGGTCTGCTGGATCGTGTATCGTCATAGTGACAATTAGGTGGCTCGTCTAGAGGGTACTCATGCTCCCCATAGACTTTATGTTGAGCCATTGCCGCTCATGTTAGGTTTTGGCTTTTTCTTAGATCAACATGTCTTCAAACAGTCACATTGGTATGTGAGACTCCAACTTCGAGTGCTTAATCATATATCCGTAATTATCACTTTATTTGAGTTGCGTTCTTTGGAGTTCTTGCTTGTGTTCTTCGATTCACAGGCAGAGATTAGCCTTCTTGGCGAGATCAACTGGATTGTGACACGATTAATAACCAGAGGAGACGTGATGCTAAGATTGTAGGATTTGGTCTTTTAATTTGTAGGCGATCAGTGTGTTGCATCTCCACCAAATCAATAGTTACCTCTATCTAACGGAAGATCGAGACCTCCATTCCTATCAGAAGTGGATAAGAGTTAGGTACAACACGACATAAAGGGCAATAGAGCAGAGATTTCACCAGCGCAAAAGAGCAAGTTATAGAAATGAGAGGGAACAATGAACATTTTAGTTTGGAACTGCCGAGAGGGATGGGGAACCTCTATCAAAACTATGAAGTTTTAGTTTTTAAAACAATATATTTGAAGCTTGCAAATCTTGTATAATCTTTGCATTATAATATGGTCTCGGCGCCACAATTCCCCCGAGGATATTGTCGTTGTATTATTGTACAGCTGTCGGCCATCTGGTCTAAAGTTGACATTGTTTTCACAACGGTTTTTCTGTGGAAATGCAGTGTACAGGGCGCATCTTCTTCTTTCTTGTACATAGTCAACCACTACTGGCCGATATTTCTTGTGCTCGTCTCATCTCTTCCTGTTTATTGGTTGTTGTGGTTAGAACCTATGCTACCTGTTGCATCAACTAACCGCACCAAATTAAAAGCGTTTCCGTGCAGCAAAGACAGAGGAAAAACAAGAAAAGGTCAAAAAGTAGGGCGACTAGTTTGCAGTAGTACCTCGATCTAATAAGCAAACTGTTAATTTACAGAAGAATTAAAATTTGCATGGGATTTGATCAAATCATCACGCGTGATCGTAACTCGTAAGTAACGATGGAATTGATTGAACTCGTTCAGCTGCAATGCATATACCTTTCTGCCTTTGGAGAATGGTACATGTATATAGTTAGAGCCGACATCTCGACTTTCTTCTATGAAATGATACAATAATCTTGAAGATCACCAAACCTCTTGACTAAGTGCGAGCTATACAAAGGAAAAGGAAAGGTACATAAATTATAAAGAATTTGTTGACATCGTCCTCCAGGCTCATATATACGTCTCCAATTTGTTTTTGTCCCGGTTATTCCGTGTCGATCGACCTCGTCAATGTTACGTGTTCATCCCTGAACTTGCACTTTGTGAGGATTTTCTAAAGCAATTCTTCACACATCGTTTTCTCTTAATAACAACTCTCTGATTTTGCATATGATTATGATAGCTGCTCGCCTGCTCCTGCTACGGTGCTACCAAGTCTCTGGGTAACATTAGGTAGATGGTGACACACATGCTTACTGTCGGCTCTTTTACCAGTTCTTCCAGTTACGTTGATTGAGCACAAATATGCCCTACCCAAAGTGAAGTTTCCTCCATCATGGATTCATGGTTCACCGGCCGTCTATGGCTCCTCGAGATGGGCGAGACAGCGACATACCAACAAGTCGACTAAAACACGGTTTGCATTTGACATTTGCATGCATGTGTGCAGGGATGCAAGCAGGCCAACAAACCCGCAAATATGCTTAATTTTTTGCGGGTTCCGCGTGAACCCGCAAAAAAAAATTCTAATATGGATTCACGGATAGGCCTGCTTGCATTCTTACTCGGAACGAATAATTTGGAAAGTGAAAGAAATCATTTCGAACGAATTAACTATTCATGTGGTAAATTCTTTGAGTTAACTTAACAATTTTTTTATAAAAAATAAATTAATTAATAAGTTGAAGTTGGAGATTATCCGCTTCTTGCAGGAGAGCCTATGGGAAAAGTGGTGCTAAATTGATCCTTTCATCCATTTCATATGCGATTATAGGTGGAACTGAAACAAAATATTTTTCCCACTTCTCCTATGCCTGAAATTTAAGACGACTTCAGGCAACACTGTTGTAGTACCAATTAGTATAAGTAAATTATCACTTTTATGATTTGTTATTTGTCTTTGTGTCATAATGTACCAAATTTTTGTCCTTGTCTGATTATAGTAATAATTGTAAATTGTTAAACTATCTTTGTGCCAACACATCATATTTTGTCACGTTTGTGGTTTTGTGTAACGGGTTTTTTATTTCGGAACCAAAAATTGCAAATTGTGTCTACCGAAATTGCAACGAACTAAAACTGTAATTTTAGTGTAAAATATATGAAATAACCATTGCCGAAAAGAAAACTAAAATTCGAACGCTTGGAATTTAGCAAATCCCTATCACTACCGGAAACAGGCCCGTTGCCAACAGCCAGCGTCTTTGCCGAGAGCCAAATGTCGGGCTCTCGGCAAAGAAAGGTTTGCCGAGAGTTTAAGGCCAAAGGAGAAACAAATATATTGTTCCTTGCTTCTGAGAATTTGATGCGTGTGGCGATTGGAAACACAAGACAAGATGCATGTTTTGCAGCTGTTGTTAGGAGTAGTTTTAACGATGCTGCATGGAAGGAGCGTCTAGCAGACATTAGGGAATGCGAAGATTGGGTCTTATTTGTTGACTGGGTGCACAGACACAATACATCCATGACATGCACACGTCACCCTCCAACTACGACATCATGCCATGCAAGCTACCTCCCCTGTATAAATAGAGACCCAGCAGTGGCGCCATCCTTCATCTTCTCATCAGCTTCAATTCTCAGCGATCGCCATCGACCTCGACCTCAGCTCAAGCGACTGTAGCAAACTTGCAGAAAGATAGGATAGGGCTGCAGTTGATCATGGGGTCGACATGGCTGGCAACAGTCTTGGCGGCGCTCGTCGTCGCCTCGGTGGCACACGCGGCAGAACTGGAGGTCGGTTTCTACAAGCACTCGTGCCCACAGGCCGAGGAGATCGTGCGCAACGCCGTCCGCCGCGGTATCGCCCGTGAGCCTGGCGTCGGCGCGGGACTCATCCGGATGCACTTCCACGACTGCTTCGTCCGGGGCTGCGACGCCTCCATCCTCATCAACTCCACGCCGGGCAACAAGGCCGAGAAGGACTCCGTCGCCAACAACCCCAGCATGCGCGGCTTCGACGTCATCGACGACGCCAAGGCCGTCCTCGAGGCGCACTGCCCGCGCACCGTCTCCTGCGCCGACATCATCGCGTTCGCGGCCCGCGACGGCGCCTATCTTGCCGGCGGCCTTGACTACAAGGTCCCCTCAGGCCGGCGTGACGGCCGCGTGTCCAAAGAAGACGAGGTGCTCGACAACAATGTCCCCGCCCCGACTGACGATGTCGCCGAGCTCATCGAGAGCTTCAAGCGCAAGGGCCTCAACGACGACGACATGGTCACCCTCTCCGGCGCGCACACCATCGGCCGCTCCCACTGCTCCTCCTTCACGAAGCGCCTCTACAACTTCAGCGGCCAGCTGGGGCGGACAGACCCGTCGCTCGACCCCGCCTACGCCGAGCACCTCAAGATCCGCTGCCCATGGCCGTCCAGCGACGCCCAGATGGACCCCACGGTGGTGCCGCTTGACCCAGTCACGCCGGCCACCTTCGACAACCAGTACTTCAAGAACGTGCTGGCGCACAAGGTCCTGTTCATCTCCGACAACACGCTGCTCGACAACCCCTGGACGGCTGGAATTGTCCACTTCAACGCCGCAGTCGAGAACGCATGGCAGATCAAGTTCGCCAAGGCCATGGTCAAGATGGGCAAGGTCCAGGTGCTCACCGGCGACGAGGGAGAGATCAGGGAGAAGTGCTTCGTCGTCAACCCACACTACTAGTCAAGCTAATTAGCTCGTGTACTATGTTTGTTTATACGTTTCCACACGTCAATACTTGCTGCAAACAACCAAATATCATGATTTAGATAAGCTGTGGTCTCAACAAAATTATAGCAATTAGAGAAGGTGATCAAGGCATATATTCTGCAGCCATGCTCACCATGTCCACGTCCAAAATTTCCTGGTTTTTAATTTCCCATGCAGCATGAGTTTCATCAACACAGCCTTTTCAAATATTTCAACATCAAAATCTAGGAGGCTAGTTTAGTCTCGGGACCAACCATTGCACTAGCACTAGCAGGCATCTAGGCTGGCTTCCAAATCCCCCAATACTCCGCAGCCCAGGCGTGCACCGGCCGTTCAGCGCTCTGCAATCACCGCAGCCCAGGCGCATCGCATGGCATGCATTTCCCAAGGCACGGCAGGCACCAAGTCAAAGAGACCAAGCCATAGCCGTCCGTTCGATGGTGGCAAGGCAGCTGTGGAACCCAGGGAGACGAGATCCATGGTGTGCCTGCACTGCAGCCCGTGGCTGTGCGCCTGCCAGTGCGTGTCGCGCGGGCATGGCCCTGGCCCTCACTCTCCCTCCCACGCGCCATACCATTGCGGTGTACTGTAAGCACGGTACGTGCTTTCACGTTTCCTTTTATGTGCTAGGAGACCCAGTGGCAGGTAAAAGGCCACAGTCCCTGCGAGCCCTGCATGTGTGCAGTACAGCCACGCACCACGAAGGGTACACACACGCACACACAGTGACACAGAGAGCAAGCTGGTGTGCCTGTGCGTTGCCATGTCAAGTTGCCAGTGCCGATGCCACACTCCACAGCCACAGGCAGGTTGTGGGAATGTGGGGCAAGGGCACTTGGTGGTGTTTAGCCCGTGGCCTTTTTTACTGGGCGGGAGCGTCGGCGATGATGACAGGAGGCGAAGTAAAGGGAATAAGAATAATCGTCTGGGGGCTGGGGGCTGGGGGCTGGGCGACGGCGACTCCAGCACCAGCAGCGGCCAGCGGGAGATTACACGATGAAAACAAACAGCCAAAGGTGGTGCATCCCGCCCTGCACGCAGCTTTTGCCTTTTGGGCCAGCCAGGCAGCCAGCCATCTCCTCCCATGATCCCCCATCTCCCATCTGCCTGCGCTGCGGCGGCGTTGGGCACCACGCACGCAGACGCAGACGCAGGCAGTCACGCAGTCACAGCTTCATCATTTCGTTTCCGCAGTCTCGGGCCCCTTGCTGCTGGCAGGCGGCTGGCTCGCCGTCACATGACCTGAGGGCTGGCCGGCTGGGGACCTGGAGCTTGGCTGAGTCACCGGGTCACGGTCACGGCCACGGCCACCATATCTAAACAAACAATTTGCAAAATCAACTGGCAGTTCTTCCTAGCTGAAATCTTGTGGCTTTGACCGGCTGCATGCATGCATATCTACTCTCCCTACTTCCATAGTTCCATGCATGCTTTGACTGAAATCTAGTGCCGTCGTTCCCCCAAAAAGGAAAAAAAAAGAGAGAAAGAAATCTAGTGCCGTCCCAGTGCTGCAGGTTGCACCTGGTTCCTGCGATCAGCTCCGGAGTTTTTCAGAGCTTCAGCCTAGCTCTTTGACCGACTGCAGCGTGAGCGGATTCACGTCAGGCCGCGGTTGTAAGTTGTGAGAAATGTGGTGCTTGTTGCTTCGGATGCTGCTTGCCCTGTTTGTACAATCTGCGAACTAGATTGTCACCTGGTCTTGGATTGACAGGGAATGTCCCCATCGACAAATCTGGGCTGCATGTTTGTAGTAGTGGTATTAGTAGTGGTAGTAGTAGTTAGTGTAGTAGTAGTTGTAGTAGTTAGAGTAGTAGTAGTTGATAATTAAGCTGCACGTTGTTCCTTGATATATATGTGGTTGTCGGCCATCGTGCCGTGGTTTTCTTTCAGGTTTGGAAACCTCACCGTTCAGGGGAGATGCTGCCGAATTTTTGAGTTGACGTTATTTTGCTTCTTTCTTTCTTTTTGCAGGAGCCGAGTCGGAGTACCCCGGTGTCCCCAGGTCTGCCCGCACCGCGTCGCCTCGCCACTGCACCGACCCGCCACGGCCCCGCTAGCCTGACTTCACCGCCACCTAAGGTATAACCACTCTTTCTTTGTCCTGGTCATGTATCTCCACGTAACCTAGTTAGGTGTCTCCTGTTCGAAAGAGATACGGTTAGAAATATGCAAATCTTTGCATATCAATAACCGTATCTATTTCGAATTGTCCATGTTTTTTGGACAGCCCGAGGATGCGCAGATGGTGTTAGTTTCCATGGTCTGCTCCGATCCGAGACAGAGTTTCGACAATACCTTCCTGTTGTTCTCCGGATACACAATCTCCCTGTCGGGACGTGTGTTTGGAGAACAGCGGGGATGTGCTGCCGAAATTCTGTTTTGGATAGGACCAGACCATGGGAACTGACACCATCTACGCATCATCGGGTGGGATTAGGACCTATCCTTACCTATTAGATGGTAGGAACGACGTGTAGATGCAAGTCCATGGTTATATTTATTACTTGGTGATATATATGTTAGAGGATGGATGACCGTGAGTAGATGTACTCGGGCCGCCGGAGCGCCTGTGAGATTACCAGAGAATGGGTCGACAAGACCGAGGCTTTCATCAAGCAAGTATTTGACCAGGCTCCCGGAGCTCATGCCGTTTTTTGTCCCTGCATCAACTGTAAGAACAGAAAGAGGCAGACAAAGGAGGTGATGACTTCACATCTGGCTAGGCATGGATTTACGAAAAACTATACCCAGTGGACCCACCACGGTGAAGCCGATCGTGTGAGAGAGGAGGTGGTGAGACCACGTGTCGAGGATTACAATGCTGATGCCGGGGTAGCAGCTTTGTTAGATGACTTTCACGAAGCACACTTCGCTGACGGACGTAGGCAGCAGGAGGAGGAGCCAGAGGCAAGCGCAAAGGTGTATTACGACATGTTGTCTGCGGTAGGGAAACCCCTTCATGGCCACACATAGATTTCAAAGCTTGATGGCATTTCACGCTTAATGGCCTTAAAGTCCCAGTTCAACCTCAGTCGAGAGAACTTTGATGAAATGTTGATAGTTATTGGCTCCATCCTTTCGGCCGGTCACCTTCTGCCACAGAACATGTACAAATCGCAGAAGCTCCTTCGTGCACTTAAGATGCCGTATGAGCAGATACATGCTTGTCCGAAGGGCTGCGTCCTCTTTAGAAAAGCACACGCGGATGCAAAGTACTGTCCAAAGTGTAAATCCTCTAGGTATCTAGAGGTAGACTCTGGTGATGGTGAGAAGAGGCAGAGTCCGTACCCCGTGAAAATCCTACGGTACCTTCCATTCATACCGAGGATCCAACGACTATTCATGACAGAGGAGTCCCCGAAACAGATGATATGGCACAAAAATGGAAAAAGATACAGTCCTGAGAAGATGGTACATCCAGCCGATGGTGAAGCATGGCATCACTTTGATAACATTCATCGTAACAAAAGTGGGGAGGCACGTAATGTGCGTGTTGCACTGGCAACAGATGGGTTCAATCCTTATGGAATGATGGCTGCCCCATACACTTGTTGGCCCGTGTTTGTTATCCCTCTCAATCTCCCCCCTGGCATCTCCTTCCAACGACAGAATGTGTTCTTGTCGTTGATAATTCCAGAACACCCTGGGAATAACATGGGTGTGTTCATGGAGCCTTTGTTCGATGAATTGGTCCATGCTTGGGACCATGGTGTATGGACATACGATCGAGCTACAAAGACAAACTTCAACATGCATGTTTAGTATCAATACTCCATGCATGACTTCCTAGCATATGGGATATTCAGCGCTTGGTGTGTTCACGGGAAGTTTCCATGCCCCTTGTGCAAGGCAGCTCTACAGTTCAATTGGCTGCAGAAGGGCGGCAAATATTCCGTGTTCGACAAACATCGACAATTCCTCCCTGCTGAGCATCCATTCAGATGAGACATCAAGAACTTTACTAAAGGTGTCATGGTTACAGACCCCGTACCACAGATGATGACCGGTGCCAAGGTTCATGATTAGATAGATGCTCTCCGGATCAATGAAAAAGATGGTAGGTTCGTGGGATATGGTGAGGAGCATATGTGACTCATAAGTCGCCCTTGATGATGCTCCCCTATTATAACGACCTTCTTCTTCCACACAACATTGATGTAATGCACACCGAGAAGAATGTTGCTGAGGCGCTTTGGGCAACGATCATGGACATTAAGGATAAGACGAAGGACAATGTAAAGGCGAGACTGGACCTGGCAACGATATGTGATAGACCAAAGCAACACATGCAACCTCCTAGAAGCGGCAAGAAATGGACAAGGCCTAAGGCCGATTACAGATTGAAACTGGAACAAAAGAGAGAAGTATTAGAATGGTTCAAAACATTAATGTTCCCTGATGGGTATGCAGCAAATCTGAGGAGGGGAGTGAACTTATCTACCTTGCGAATCAACGACTTGAAGAGTCATGACTATCACATATGGATTGAGTGTCTTCTTCCAGCGATGCTCCGAGGCTATGTCCTTGAGCATGTGTGGAAGACGCTAGCCGAGTTGAGCTATTTCTTCCGCCAGCTTTGTGCCAAGGAGTTATCTCATAGCGTGGTTGTAGAATTGGAAAAAATAGCACCTGTGTTGCTCTGTAAGTTGGAGATGATCTTTCCACCCGGCTTCTTCAACCCGATGCAGCATTTGATTCTGCACCTCCCGTATGAGGCACGAATGGGGGGGCCCGTGCAGGCCCGTTGGTGCTATCCAAGCGAGAGATGTCTAAAGGTTCTTCGGAAGAAATGAAGAAACAAATGCAAAATCGAGGCTTCCATGGCAGAGGCATTCGTTCTAGAGGAGGTTACTAACTTCACACAAGCATACTATGGTGACAAGCTTCCTAGCGTGCATAATCGACCCCATCGTTACAATGCTGGTGAAAATGAATCAAAACTCAGCCTTTTCCAAGGGCAACTTGGAAGTGCGAGTGATGCGACCTCATTGTTGTTGAAAAATGAAGAGTGGCTCACAATCATTATATATGTGTTCACCAATCTTACCGAAATGGAGCCGTACATGCAGTAAGTGGCTTCTTGCACGAACTTGTTAATTAAATATGCCGTCAACATTCGCATCCAACCTCCTTTTTTCTCGTTGTTCTGGGGAGTTTATTAATGAGAACTGGCATCTATCAAGGGAACCTACCCCGCAAGAACGTGACACCATTCTTCATCAGGGTGCGGGAAATGGAATCTCTGATTTTATTTCTAGGTTCAAACAAAAGGTACTATGCAATTTAGCTCGTTCGCCGATTGACATTCCCAGTTGCTTGTACATTCCAATTTAACGATCTATCCTCCTTGACCTTGCAGAGCCAAACCGATTTGACAATGAATCCAGAGTTGAGACAGGTTGCCAATGGCTTTGAACATAGGGTCAAGTCAGTTTCTGGTTATGATGTGAATGGATACCGATTTCACACAACAAGACACGAGCAGAGCCGGCCCAATCGAAGAACCATGAATTCCGGAGTTTTTACTGGTGGCCTTGATGGGGCCGAGTATTATGGAAGAATTGAAAAAATATATGAACTTAGGTTTCGTGGTCACAAACCTCTTAACCTTGTCGTATTCAAATGCCATTGGTTTGATCCTCAAGAAACGAGACGAAGTCCTTCCCTTGGGCTAGTAGAAATTGACTGGGGATTCCGTCTATGGCGGAAAGGATGTCTATATTGTGGCTCAACAGGCCACACAAGTTTATTATCTCCCTACTGTGCCAAAGGGACCCTCGTCTTCGTGGTTGGGATATTGTGCACAAGGTATCGCCATGCGGTAAAGCACCTTCCCCAAACGCCGAAGACTACAACTTTGACCCAAACACATATGATGGAGAGTTCTATCAAGAAGAGGGCCTACAAGGGACTTTTGAGATTGACTTAACCGGAGCTATGGAAATGGAAGTAGACAATGAAATGGATGTTGATGTGGACGAGGGGGATGAGGTGGAAAATGTGAAGGACTTGGCGTTACTTGAAGGATTACATATTGGCAATGGCAATGATGACATAGTTGCTCCTTTGGAAAGTGTTGAACATTTCG